AGACAGTGCTCATTTGTGCGCGGTGACAGCCAGATGTTGCACATTGGAACTAGTGCACGCATTTCACCAAAAAAAAACAATTTACGTAAGATAATAAGAGATGACAGTAAACATACTCGGATGTACCAAGGAAGCGGTTTACAAAGGGATCATCTACTAATAGACATAAACGGACGAAAATGCCTTGGTATACGGAAAAAGTTGTATACACAATTTCCGTAAGATAATAAAAGATGACACTGACCGTATTGCGCACGCATTAGTGTGCGCGCGTAAGGGTCTTGCAAACGCACACATTCAAAAATAATACAACAGTTTTCAAAGTGAAGGTGTATCTACCTATTTGTCTTTGGTCTTACCACATAGATGAAATACAAAAAAAATAGTGATTATAATATTCATAAAAATATTTACGTTATAATATTGTGAATATAAAAAATATTCGATAATTTCAGTAACAAGCTGTATTCATCAATTAAAGGAAAATTATTATAAAAAACAATCAATTAAGTTCAACATCTAATTTTGCAACATTTTAATTTTTGTTTTTGATTGATTGCTTTGCCACCCCTAATAATATTACTTATAATTATAAAATAATAATAATAATAATAATAATTCTACACCAGGAGCTCGCTCTGAAATACGGTCTCGTGGACCGGAAATTGCCGTATTACAAGTACTTGACGGAAGCCGTACTCGAAAATGACCGCGCCAGGCTCTACTGGGACCGGGCCATCATCACCGATAGGACTATTCTTGCAAATAAGCCTGATAGTGTGCTGATGGACCGGGCACAGTCAAGGATATTTTTGGTCGACATTACCATTCCGTATGACGAGAAACTCGTGAAAGCCGAAACAAATAAACGAACAAAATATCTGGACCTGGCTCACGAGGTGACGGACATGTGGGGTGGTACGCCGGCTGAAATTATTCCTGTAGTCGTCTCTGCGAATGGGCTAATCCCAGTCAGCCTCTCGGGTCATCTGAGGCGACTGGGACTCCGTGACAGACCGCTACGGGCTCAAATGCAGATGGCAGTGCTCCTCGATACCGCCCGCATCGTCCGTCGGTTTCTTTCCCTTTCCTCCTAACCCTCGGCCGTTTGGTCTCCCCCTGCCGAGGGCTTCCATCTGGTTGGATCTTTATTTATTTATGTATTTTTTTGTATTTATTTTATTTTACTGATATTTATGTACATTTATCTTTTCATTTTAATTTATAATTATATATTTATAGAACCCAACCAGATGAGAAAACTATACAGATATCCCAATAACAATAATAATCATCATCATCATTACAGCCCTTCACAAGTTCACTGCTGAACATAGGCCTCCCCCAAGTAATGCCACAAAGCACGGTCCTGAGCCACCTGCATCCATCGACTTCCTGCATGTCTTACCAGGTCGTCACTCCATCTAGTGGGGGGTCGCCCTACACTACGCTTACCGGTACGAGGCTGCCACTCGAGAACCTTTCTTCCCCATCGGTTATCGGTTCTTCGAGCTATATGGCCGGCCCATTGCCACTTCAGCTTACTAATCCGTTGGGCTATGTCGATCACTCTGGTTTTACTGCGGATATCCTCATTTCTGAGTCTATCACGCAGAGAAACTCCAAGCATAGCCCTCTCCATAGCTCGCTGAGCGACCTTAAGCGTCCTCATACGGCCAGCAGTGAAGGACCACGTCTCAGATCCGTAAGTCATCACTGGCAACACGCACTGGTTGTACAATCTAGTTTTTAGAGATTGAGGTATACCTGACTAAAAGATATGTCGTAATTTCCCGAACGCTGCCCAGCCGAGTTGAATCCGTCGATTGACCTCTCGGTCGAAGTTGGACTTACCTAGTCAGACTATTTGTCCCAGGTAAACGTACTCGTCAACAACTTCGAGCATAGTGCTCCCAACAACTACCGGCATAGGTGTGACATGGACATTAAACATGATCTTTGTTTTGTCCATGTTCATCTTAAGACCTATCCGTTGGGAGGCACTATTGAGGTCATTGAGCATAATGCTTAAGTCCTCCAGCGATTCTGCCATAATGACTATATCGTCGGCAAATCGAAGGTGAGTGATGTACTCGCCATTGATGTTAATACCGTATCCTTTCCAGTCCAGTAGCTTGAAAACGTCTTCCAACGCAGCGGTGAAGAGTTTCGGGGATATAACATCACCCTGTCTTACACCTCTCTGCAGTTGGATAGGTTTCGAACTCTGGTTCTGTACTCGGATGCCATCGTAGCCCTACTGTACAAACACTTCAGCACTTCGATGTACCGACAGTCAACTTGGCACCGCTGAAGGGACTGTAGCACCGCCCAAATTTCGACGGAATCAAAGGCTTTCTCATAGTCCACATATGCCAGGCAAAGTGGCAGATTGTACTCTTCGGTCTTCTGTACAATCTGCCGTAGGGTATGTATGTGGTCTATGGTACTGAAGCCTTTTCGGAAACCGGCTTGTTCGGGAGGCTGGAAGTCGTCGAATCTGCGTGCGAGACGATTCGTAATGACTCTCGAAAATAGCATGTAGACGCGGCTCAGAAGGGAAATCGGTCTGTAGTTCTTCAAGAGAGCGTTGTCGCCTTTCTTAAAGAACAAAACCACCGCGCTTCTGCTCCACGCCTCCGGAGTAGTGCCACCATGGAGGACGGAATTGAAGAGCTTCCGAAGGACTTCAAGTACCGGTTTTCCACCCGCTTTCAGAAGCTCCGCTGTAATTCCATCCTCGCCCGGGGCCTTGCCGTTTTTAAGGTGGTGGAGAGCCATTCTAATCTCGCTCAGACTGACGTCCGGGATATCATCGGAATAGTGTCGGATAAGACTTGCTCTTGGATCGTTACTCACACTTACGTGTGGCTCCAACGATGATGTGTACAGCTGCCCATAGAACCTCTCAATCTCACTCAAAATCTCAGGTGTCCCGGAAACGATGTTGCCACACTCAGTCTTCAGCTTTGACAGTTGGCTCTTTCTGGCAGACAGATCTCTGGCAAAGACTTTGGAGCCCTGGTTCCGCTCGATCGCTTCTTTAATACGAGAAGTATTAAAGTTGCGTAAGTCTCGCCGCATGCATTTGGAGATCTGTCTGTTCAGTTGCCTGTATGCTGTCAAATCTGTTGACGATTGCAGCCTCATCTCCCGTCTAACAGCCATGAGATTAAGAGTGTGATCGGAGAGTTTTTGTGTTCTTCTGCGGCGGGTCTTGCAGAACTTAGCTCCGACCGCATGGACAGTTTCCACGAGCTTGTCGTTCATATCGTCCACTGCATTGCAATCTTCTAGGCACTGAAAGCGGTTACGTAACTCGAGCTGAAAGGTTTCGGGATTCTGGATTAGAGCACGAGGGGGACGGAGCGTTGACTTCATTAGACGAGACCTCTCCAACTTAACGTTTAGGTTCAGTGTGCCTCTAACCATTCGGTGATCGCTGCCAGTTTTCACCCTTGCGATCACTGAGACATCACTGAACAGTTGGCGTCTGGTCGTCATAATGAAGTCAATCTCATTTTTTGTCGAACCGTCGGGGCTCGACCAGGTCCACTTCCTGTGGGGCCGCTTCTGGAAGAAAGAGTTCATCATAAAGAGTCCCTCTTTCTCCATAAAGTCGGCCAGCTGCTGGCCCCTTCGGTTCCGTTGCCCTACTCCAAATTTCCCTACCTTCAGCTCACCGCTTTCTCTTGTGCCTAGTTTTGCGTTGAAGTCTCCCATCAACACCGTGTAGTGGGTTTTGGAGGAATGTATGGCTCTGGAAATATCCTCATACATTTCCTCCACCTCCTCATCGGGATGTGCCGAGGTTGGTGCGTAAACCTGAATGACCTTCAGCGAATACCGTTTGGTGATTCTGAGTATCAGGTACGCGACCCTCGTCGACACACTCCCAATCTTTACAACGTTGTTGACGAGAGACTTGTGGACGATAAATCCGACACCTCCTTGGGACAGATGGTCGCCCTCCCGGTGATAGAACAAGTTGCCGGACTCGAGGATTGCCGTGTCCTCCCCCCTCTCTTCGGACCTCGGATAATCCAATAATATGCCAGCGCAACTTGTCTACCTCTTCTTCACGTTCTTAATGATAACAAATTGAAACGCGTCAAACTTTAAAGTATTGAGTTTAAATATTTAAATAATAATCTATGTTATTGAGGGCACTGTGATTTTTATCTTTCATTCACAATAAATATTTAAATTTATTTTTTCTATTTATAGATTTGAGAAAAAATACATACAAATAATAAATTTGACATGTCCTGTGGCCAGCGATCTCCTAAAAAAAAATTGGGACAAGCCGAAGAATTTAAGAGTAATCAAGCCATCTCCATATGAACAAAACGAAGCATCCGTTAAACTTCATTGAAAAAATGTAGTGCGACGCTTGGAATCCTCTTATAAAGATGAACAGTTTTGGAAGTTTCAATACAGTACTGTTCGAGATATATTGGAACCAGTTATATTCAAGCGAATCATAAAAATTTTTGATTTACCGTCGGAATCAAAAAAAATATGAACCTCCAGAAGAAGATATTTCACAACTGTCTTCGGAACAATTTTTTGAAGCAACATCTTTCAAAGAACAACCTCCGCAACCTCAAAATCGGATAACATTTTCTATGATCGATGTGAGCCAATCACTAAGTGAAGGACAAACGAAAGAACAATCTGAACATTTGACGGTTACGTCTCATATGTCTTCAGAATATAAAAAGTTAATACGCTCTAGATCATCCACAAGGTCAAAGTCATTAAGCGTTTTAAAATCCACACCAAAATTAACTGCAAAGTCTTTTCCAAAGTTTACTTCGAAAGTTTCACGATCACTTTCCCGGAAATCTAAATATTTTAGTTCAGAACGTTGCTCGGAAGATACGCCTCCAAAGTCTGATGATGACTTAAAAGTACACCCAAGTGTTATAGATATGAAAATTGGAAATATTCAAAATCCACATTTCGATTTTTTATATTGCAATGAATCGGAAACTGATATGATGAAGTGGGAATCTAAATTCAAACAAAAAGATTTTGATGTTTCTGCTTCTGATGAATTCAATAAAAAAGCAGAAATCGCTACTAAAAAAATTGCGGCAGAATTTTTCGAGTGGTGGACTGGGTTAGGTAACGAAGAATATAAAAGCGAAATTAGACGTCCAGAAGACATTGAGGATTTATTTCAGGTTTGGTTTGATGAACATGCATCTCAAGGTTTAAGACTCGAGCTAAAAACCCTTCCTTGCGTCAATCAAAGTATTGCTGATTATGTTGGCGTGCCAAAGGCTTCATGTCAAAATTTTCTGAAAAGGCAAATAGCGTCTGACATTCGAGCAGAAAGTAGTCCAGCTCATACAAAAGCATTTGGTAAATGTCTGCCACAAAAACTGAAGCACATTCCTCCGCGAAACAACACTAAGAACATTTGGCATGGCGTAAAGATACCAGAAGATCTTCGATCTTCATGCGTATGGGGAGAAATACAGCATCTAACTTCAACTAAAACCTTTTATAAGTGGTTAAAAATGCGACATTACTTACCAATGCCACCGTACTTTAAAACAATGGATAGTCATGGTGAAAAGAAGTTGTTTGTAGTGCCATCAGACTATGTGGTCCAACAGAAGTCGTCGACATCCATAACGCAAGAGTTGGCGTTCCCGGTTTCAGAATTTAATTTAGAACTGAAGGAAGAATTGAGCAAAATTTTATATGATTAATTTATTTCAACTAATATTTTCGAACAATATTTTGTTTTAATTTTTTAATATGGAATATATTTATTATCTGCTTCATCATAGAATACTTTATTACATACATAATAGAACGGGGGAGTGGGCGGAGCCCGCATAGCCACTAAAATTTTACTAACACGTCAATTCTCACGTATAAATGTCAACACGAGATGTGTTTTGACGTTACAATCGTTTCCAAATTTCGCATGCAAATTGTTTGCACCCTATTTACGAATAAATATGTATTAAAATTTAATGATGATCTTGAACATTAATCAAAAGTCTAAAATTTACTCGGTCTGTCAACACAGCGAATCGGGTTTGGCGACGCCAATCCTCGTTTAAAATAAAGTTGACAGCCATTCTATTGTGTATTATAGTATTCTATGTGCTTCATTATAAAACTAGTTGCTTTGATTTTTTTTGATTTTTTTTAGGTAATAATATTTTCTTAATTCTATATTGTGCCGTGTAGTGGCGGTTGAGAATATCCACTACCCCATATCTTCCCGTGGGTGTCGTAAAAGGCGACAGAGGGAGACAGGCAGGAAATGGGCAGCAGCATCTTCCTGATAACAACTGTGACGTAATAAAAAACTGCGGTTGCCAACCCGCTCGCCAAGCGTGGCAACTATGGCAAATACCCCCCAATGAATAAATACACAAACAGACGGCCCCCAGTCCCCGGCGGCCCCGCTATTCCTGGCTACGGTGGCGACCATGGTAACGGCGGGGCAGGGGGTGCTAAGAATCTCCGGTGGAGGTTCGGTTGCCACCTACGACGACTCGACCTGGCAACATATAACGCACGCACCCTGAGGACTGACGAGAAGATACTAGAGCTGGAAGAAGAACAATAATAATAATACGTAATAATTCATTTCCATTAAAAAGGGTTTTCTCACTCGCCATACGAAACACAGCATCATTTAAGCTAGTATTTTATGCTAGTATTCTGGAGAGCGTGATCCTTCCCCGGTCGAGCTGACCCATTCGTGCTATAGCTATTATATAGCTGCAGCGTGGTTCTACGACGTAGACTTTGATATAATATAATAAGAAGCGACAGTAGCCTAATGGCAGGGCGCGGACCGCGAACTCAAAAAGGTCGTGGGTTTGAATCCGCCATTCGACTACTGGCGTGAACTCACTCACTCTACACTCGTAACACAAGCAATTTAAGCTTACCACGAGTGGTTAACGGGAATATTAATAACGTTTATAGCATTATTAATATTCTTTAAAAAATAACAAATAAAAATAACAAATAAATTTTGCTACGGAAATAACTAAAATAAACTAATCTCGCTGTCTCGACACCTTTTTACAGCATAAACTGCAGAGCTTAGTCTACTTGCCAGTTTAGATATATGGGGGCCCCACTGAAGCTTAGCGTCGAGAGTCATGCCAAGAAAAGCAGAGAATTCAACAGGACTCGGTACCTCCGCATTTAAAAACGTATTGGTATTCGGATTTTTAACATTTGTTGTTGTAAATGTAATACATTTAGTTTTATTTCCGTTTAAATATAGATTATTAACGTTAAACTAATGCAATAATTTTGACATGGCATTACTCACTTCGTCACATTTAAATTAACGACGTTTAAGTTTAAAAATGAAGGAAGTATCATCAGAAAATAATACTATATCATGATACTACAAGAGAAGGTAAAACATTAATGTACACTAAAAATAGGAATAGCTCAAAAATAGAGCCTTGATAGACACCTATCTGTAGGGGCCATCTGGAAGAACTTCTACCATTGATCATAACTTTTTGCACTCTATTTCTAAAATATGAAATAACTAGTTTAAGTGCTGTGATGTGTTCTTGACACGATAGTACTGTAGCTTCCTGATTAATGTCTCTTGTTGAACAAACTCGAGGGCCTTGCAAAGGTCACAAAATCTACCCGAAGCATCCTCTTAATTCTCCCATACAAAAATTATGTTTTATAAACTCAACACATGCATTGGTTGCCAAGCAAACCCTTGTAAAACCAAATTGACTTGTATGGAGCAATTTATTTTATTAAAAAAAACTTACCATCTCATGTAAAATATTTTTTTCAAAAATTTTACTTAAAGTTGGTAGTACATAAATTGGTCTAAAATTGGTGGGATCTGATGTACTTTTCGGACTTAAATAATGGTAAAAATTTACTATGTTTCATTAAATCAGGATACTCACCAGATTCGACGCTTGTATAAAAAATAATGGCTAGATAAGGTGCTATTGTATCTTTTACAGATGCAATAACTTTAATGGAAATTCGTCATAAGTCTGCCGTTTCCTTAACATCAATAGTTTTAAAATATTTAATGATATCTTTTAGCAATATTCTATGGAATTTAAAAGTATTTGAACAAGCCTTTACATTTTGTCTAAGCAATTATTCAGCGACAGTAAGAGAAAAATTTAATGATATTGTTGTCAAAAACGAATATCAGTAAAATGTTTCTTAAAAGCCATAGCAACTTCTTGATCAGATTGGTTCAATTATAGTGAATATTCAGTTGAAAATCCGAGTTGCTTGGTTTGACCTTGCCGTTTCAATGTTAATTATACTCCACGTCATTTTTATTTTATTGGATGCAGTTTTAATTTTGTTGTTTAAGTCTAAAGCCTTACCTGTGGAGCATCCTTTTTTTAATATTTTAGTATAATTTTAACACACTCTATAAATATAACACTATGATTATATGATCCTTCATTATAAAGCTCGTATAACTTTCGCCTACTTTTATAAATGCCTACTGGTTGCGCCAAAAAGCATATTTATTGACTACATTAGCTGGCATCCATTCCCATCACTTCATCTCCTCTCCGGCATATGCACACCAATAGGAGAGCGGAAAAGTGGCGTGATTTTGGGCGACCAATAAGACGCGCTTGGCCGAAAAGTGAAATGTCAAAAACACGCCACCGGCCATCGCATCGGTTGTTCTGACTTTTCCAGCAAATAAAGTATATTAGGCCCAGCAAGTGCATTGTACAAAAGCCAGCTACGTGCCACTTTCGCCATCTTGCATTGGTACAGTCCATACATAATGAAATCTCGCATAATAAATTTTGGCTCCACCCGGGAATGGAACCCGAGACCCCTATCGCTCCACTATTTTCCAGCCCTTCATTCCGGATTATAAATTTAGTCAATAGCACGACCATTTTCTGGTTCTTCGACCCGGATATGAACGAACTGCCTGTGGCCGCACCATTTTCTGTTCCTTCGCCCCTGATTGTAAACTAGCTCAACCACCTACTGTCGCCCATTCATTAAATGATTTGCGACTGTTTAAATAGAAAGTTTTAGAAGTAAATATTATATTAAATTTATAAGTTATAATTTTAAATAATGCATCATACAAATAATCAAGAATGTTTTCAAATGACAGTGATGGAAGTCCCTTTAGTATATTACTTCTAAACCTCTCAAAACGATGTTTATTTATTGAAACAAACACTACATTCTCATTTTTCTGTTTTTGTGTATGTAAGACAATGAAACCCACTGTTCACAGTGATCTGCACTTAAAGTGTCCTCTTCCCCTACTGCTGCAGCCGAGGTGGAGTCACGGATGAAGAGGAGTGTTGGTATGGCGATGCGCCACTCGCACTATCCTCTGCGACTCAAATGGGGCCTCATCGTTGATGCGGTGGTAGTGGGGCTGCAGGGGAAAGGAGTGTCAGTATTGCGAGGTGCCGCTCTTCCTACCCTCCGCAGCCGAATCTTGTTTGGTGGCGGAGCCATAGACCAGATCCACTACTGGGTCGGGAAGGCTAGTGCTTCTGAGTACTCGTTTTTCCTGGCCCCATAGCCTTCGCGCGTCGGACGCGGGGGCGTCCGTTGCACAGGTTTAGTTGGAGGCCGTGGAGGAAGGTGAGCCATGTGTTCTGGTGCGCATTACCGGGGAAAGAGAACAGGGAATAGTAGTCGTCTCCCAAAAAGGTACGACTACTATTCCCTGTTCTCTAGGCCTCTAGGCCGCGGATGTGTGTTAAAGCGTTCCCGTGGCCCTGCCAATATGTGACGAATGTGGAACACCATGGAGTTTTAGTCAGTGCGAGTCCGACATAACCCGACCTTGCCCTCGCGAGGCGAGTATGCGTAGGCATTTCTCCATGTTAAATAGAAAGTAGCACATGGGGGTCTATAAACTTTGAATTGCATTTGGAATTAGTGGGAAGTTCCAGGGATGGCCTGCAGGATCAACCAATTTTTTTTCTTCATCTTATTGGTCTAGTGGTCTTGTCTTACACTTCACTGCTAATTATGCTTTCCCAGGTGCGCTAAAACCGGGTTGATCATTCTCTTACGCCGCCATTTCATATTCAGCCCATTGTCAAAAGCGTTAAAAATTAAACCTTTTAATAAAAATTAAAGGTGACTTCAACGAAGTAAAAAGTATAAAATAATTTCCACATAATAGCTTCTGAAATCGGGGGCTTATAAGTTTTTATTTACTATTAGTTAACATTTTAAACGGAAAAAATTTTGAAAGTGAGATCTATGATATTTTTTATGCTTTTTTGGATGGAGTCTTAATTTCCTTTGAAATTATAACTCTTTCCGAACTTTTAAACATAGGCTACCACTACTAACATATTTACTAACATATACAGCATACTCATATATAACCTCAACCCTAGCCTCAATCTGAGCAGTGTAGCTGAGGAGTTGAAACTTAGTCCGGGATCAACTCCGCCAACATCAAAAATATTGTTAAGTGCTGACTACGCACTAAGTGCCACGTGTTTAGCGGTTAAGAAAAACATCATTAGGAAATCGGCATATCTGAGGAATAAAATATTTCAATGGCGTATGTAAGTAGGTTGAAAATTTTTGTTTATTGATACGCGCGACTGTAGGGTACGGCAATCAAAACAGCAGAGGTCTTGCACCTTTGAAGCATTAATTTTTACTTTTTATTACTTATTTACACACATCCCATTTCATTACAGATCCCTAAAATCAATACTTA